CAAACGTAAAATTCAATAGTGTCGAGTTTACAAAAGTATACGGAATTTACGTCCGCCATTGGTGGCGTAGCGAAAGAGCAGACAGACGTTAGTCGTTAATTCTGCAGTGTGGCTGGCCCAGTCACTGCGATTTTGACGCTCGAACGTTATGGTTGGTCGTTGTTGCTGCAGTGTGTCTTCAACTCTTGTCCTCGTATTGAAGAGATTACGAGTTAAACATAAACTGTTGTTTGAAAGTGGTGTTGTAGCATTATGTATGTAGTACACTGTAGTACTGTATGCATGTATAATGTGTCTGAAAAATGTAATGCAATTTGGTGCATGTGTGTCTTGCACTATCTGTTTTCTGTCTGCAGCAATAAGTACTTCACAAATAAAGTAAATGTTGTTTACACAAACAGCTGTATGTATATATTGTATTTTTGGTATTTTGCTGTATAATTTTTCAACCAAACCAACTGGTACGATTCACCAATAAATTAGTTATACCAACCATTCTAACTGGTTAAATTCCAACCAAAGCAATTGGTCATTCTTACCAATCCCATGAAATATAATAGAATAACCAATATATTGGTTAAACGGACCAAATCAAGTTGGTTAGTATCTAACCAATCGAGATTGGTTGAAATTATAACCAAACTAGATTGGTTGCTGTGACCAAGATATTGGTTGGACACATATCTACCAACCAGATTGGTTGAATCTAACTAAAATATTGGTTGTTTCAACCAATCAGTTTTTAGAGTGTAAACAGCAGGATGTGCAGGAATGTGTGCAAGAATGGGCGCAAAATGTGGCGCAATGTGCATCTATAACTGCCGCAATGTATCAAAATGTGGCAAAACGGGCTTACACGCCCACACTTGTCAACAAGTGTTAGTACCTTGAAAGAGAAGAACTTTATTTCTCAAAGTGGAGCGGAAATGTTGACGAGGACATTTTCAGATGTAACCGCTGAACTGATGAAAAGACTACTAAAGAACAAACGCAGTGGAAACATTACGCATGAATCCTACCCACCTGCTCTGAGAGCTTTTGCACTAACACTTCAGTTTTATTCTGCAAAGGCATATACATACGTTAGAAAGACGTTTGATTTTGCCTTGACGCACCCATCAGTGATCACAAAAATGGTACAGCACTGTCAATGGAGACCCCGGATTTACCGAAGAAGCATTCACAGCACTCAGGATTAAAGTAGAAGAGGCAAAAACATTAGATGAAATGGCAATACAGAAGCATATAGAGTGGGATGGGAAAAGGTTTCATGGCTATGTGGATCTTGGCACCGGAATAACTGATGACTCAACACCTGTGGCTACAGATGCGTTAGTATTCCTGGTGGTAGCTGTGAACAGTAGTTGGAAGGTACCCGTAGGGTACTTCCTAATCAATCGAATGTCAGGAGAAGAAAGGGCCAACCTTGTATTCCAGTGTCTTAGAAAATTGCACAATACAGGGATTAGGACATCATTGACATGTGATGGTCCAAGTTACCACTTTGCCATGATGAAGTCTCTTGGAGCAGACAAGACTCTGCCAGGACTGAGACAATTTTTTCCTCACCCAGCAGACCCATCTCAGAAGGTACTGTTAGATATATGTCACATGCAAACACATGGCCAGCTGGAGGAATTCTAATGAATAGGTCAGGAGAGAAAATCAAGTGGGTATACATTGAAGAACTCTATAAGTTGCAAGAAAAAAAAGGTCTCCGAGCAGGAAACAAGCTAAGGTTAAGTTAGCACATGCAGTGGTCAAGACAGAAAATGAAGGTAAATTTAGCTGCCCAAACCCTTAGTGCTAGCGTAGCAGATGCCCTTGAATCCTGCCAGCAAGATCTAAATCTACCAGTTTCAAGGTTGCGAGGCAACTGTAAAATGTATTCGTATTTTTCATCGCCTCTTCGATTTGATGAACTCCCGCAATCCACTAGCTCGGAACTACAAGGCACCCTTGCACCCGTGTAATGAAGTGAAATGGCGACCGTTCATGAATGAAGCATTTCAGTACATCTCTTTGCTTACCGATGGGCCAGGAAACCTAATGCACCTGTCACGGAGGAAGACACCCTTCATTGGATTTCTTGTAGAAATACGCAGTTTTCAAGCTATGTATGACACTCTTGTGGCATGTGATCCTCTCTGCTGAAATACTTGCTATCATATAAAATGAGCCAGGACCACCTAGAAGTCTACTTTTGTGCAGTACGATCAGCGAATGGCACAAACAACAACCCTTCAGCAAGACAGTTCACTTCTGCATATAAACGGCTTCTGACACGGCATCAGATAGAGGGTGTTGGAGGTAACTGTGCTGCCCAAGATGCAACTGCCATACTCCACGTTGCCAGTACCCATACAACGAGCAGAGATGGTAGCACAGAGGAGAATGACATGCTTCTAATTAAAAGTACGACTTAGAGCTGCGCTGCCCAGCTGATGTAGATCATGACTATGCTGATGCACCTGTGGTTCAACATCTCACATTGTAAAAGGAGGCAGCCATCGAATATATTGCTGGGTACGCTGTTCGTATGGCTAAGAAATGCACAGCATGTTCTCAGTGTGTAGAAGCTCTAATCGATAATGAGAACTCATCTGTGAAGCTGTTGGATCGGAAAAATCGAGGTGGACTAGTGAAGGCTTCCCTAGTGTGATAAGAGTCTGCGCAGTCACGGAGAAAATTCTGCAGACTCTTGGCTTCCAGACAAGGTGGTCTTCCGCTGTGTTAAGTGAAGTCTGTGAAAAGGACATTTTTGTCAGCTTGTCTTAGCACAAGTATGACCCATCTCCTGATTATAATCATGTTTTGCACTTATTAAGTGTCTGGTTGCTTGTTATCTTAACATTCGATTTCATCCGTTAGCTAAGCAACTAACTGCAACTGACGGGAAAGAACGAGCTCATTTGTTGTCGCAAAGGCGCGACAATACGTCGTTTCATCCAGCGACCTCACCTTGTTTTGACGATTTCTCACGATTTCACGGCTCGCGTATTTCACGCGATTTCAGTTACCATTCATGTCCTGTGGCCGTCACATTTCTCCTCCACTTTGCCCGGGCCACTTACGCAGTGATATAACTTCGTCTCCGCTGTCAATAACCTGAACCAACGTTGCCCTTGGGCATTTTCCGCAAACGCACTATGAACATGACGAATTTAACGCCTAAATTCTGCCATTGCGCTCACACCAGAGCGCTACTGCCATCTAGCGTCGATGGCGACTATTTCGCACCCACACCTGTCCGCCGAGAGCTAATAAAAATACCGCCGCATAGCCTACGGTTACGATACCGGTACTACACAGACAGGAGGCACATTTGACGCTTCTTTTGTCATAGCTTGGCATTGTTTTCGTTATAAGCGAGTTCGTAGTTAGCCGTATACGTACACACGCACGCACGTGTACGTGCACACGCATGCACTTGACACTTGTACGTGCACACGCACGCACGTGAACGTGCACAGGCACTTTTTTATACGCTCTTGATTATGATATATATATATATATATATATATATATATATATATATATATATATATATATATATATATATATATATATGTATATATAGCTATATATGTTACTAATCTAGCTATAGGTATAATGCCCTGCAACAGAAATGTTGTAGTACGTGCACCATGCATGGTGCTTGTGCTGTAACAATTTATAACATGCCACGGCACCCGTAAACTATTATTAAAATAAGAACCCTTTGTAACTATACAGAGATGCCAACACTTTTCTGAGCAAACTGTAGTGAGGATTTCTGAAATCTGTAGTACGAGGGTCACGCAGTGACCCGAGTATGCTAGGGGGTTCGGGCATGCCCCCCCCCCTCCCCGGGAAATTGTTGATTCCGAGATGCAATTTCCTGCATTCTGGGACCCAAAATGACAATAAGTTCACACTGATATTTGCTGCTAAATACATGTAGTTATTTTCAATCATGTTATATCAATGTAACACTGAAACAAAACACTTGAAATATCATCAAAATGATTTTTTTCCGATCGTAATAAAAATCGTAGTTGTATGCAAACTGGTCGTAGTGGTCAAAATGCAAACAAAATTCGCATAAAATACGGATAAATCGTAGTGGTTGGCATCTCTGAATATAGCATCATGCCAATCATACGCTAACATATGAAATTCGTATACATAGCGTATTCATAACGAGTTGGACGTATACATAACGTATTAGTCACGTATATAGAACGTTGTGATAACTTATACCGACGATTGCTTAGCGTGTTGCCGGCGTTCACAACTTATGCCCAACGATAGTCTAACTTATGCATAGCGCGCGGCAGCGTATCGCCGACGATCACGTGTCGTAGCCTATAAAAAGGCTGCCGCTCGACGATTCAATTTATAACCGCACTAGACATCGCAGTATCAACATCTCCGTCGCAGTATCAACATTCTTATATACCAATTCCCCTAAACTCTGCCCATACGCCATTATAGGTAGCTGTAAGTTAGAAACACGTTCAGTTAGTTCTGTGGTCGTCCGGAACACGTCAAATACGGCTACATACGTCAATATGCGTTGGAGATAAGTTACACATAGGTTCAAAGCACGTTACTCATAGGTTAGAAATAAGTTTTGGGTACGCTAGACATTATCTCGACGTATTTCGACTTTATATAAGTAACTTACAAGTAACGTGTGTGAACGTGTGTCAACGATCGCATAACTTACCTACAACTTATGGCCCGCGTATGCGGGACGTATGGGCATACGCTGGCATACGTCGGAAAATGTTGTGCATGCAAACAAAAATTTGACGACCTCGCCGTACTACGACGTATACCAGCGTGCTTCGGCGTGCTCTTAACTTATACAAAGCTTAGCCATAACTTATTCGACGTACGCCAGCGTATTCACCAAATTTTCCATACGTCGGTATACGATGGCTTTCATACGGTGGTTGTGACAGCGCCATAAGCACATCCAAATCTCTCGTAATAACGACAAAATACAGCACGTATAAATATAATTATATAATTTTAATCCATATAACAAATGTATCAAATATACATCTTCTTCTTTCACTCGCACAACATGCTTCACGAAAACCAACCGGTTCAACAAGTCGAGTAAGTTACAATTAATTAATTTTTCCACAATAGTTTGGCTGTTTATTATAGACCATAAACATCCCTGTGGCTGCTGTCACAGGTTTACATGAGCAACGAATTGTGCGGTCAGCTCATCTGTCTATTATGACGATGGAATCCACAATTTCTCAACAATGTATTAGGACGATACTATAACATAGATAAATAGCAATAATATGACGTTATAAATCTCTAATAGCAAGATTTCATGATCAACATGAGAAAACTACTGTAAATGGTATGCACTACATTTGCATTTCTTATATATTTTTAGCAGACCCATATTTCCACACATCACAGAATGGAGAGTATCACATTTAGTTTTGAGCACATTATTCATGTGTATCCCACCGGGTATATACAAGTATTATTATTATTATTATTATTATAATTATTGTTATTATATTGTGTTAATTATCGTCATTACTATATGCACTTGACCACATAGCCTTAGATCTAGATATCGATATACACGGTGTATGACCACTTCATATACAATTTACTCTGTGTCCTAGACTGTCATATGTTCTTATTTAGATCCAATCAAGAGTTAATGAGACAAACTTGTTAACATTGTCTCATTAACTCCTGATCTAATTTAAACAACTCACAGAGAGCACCATTAAAATGATAGGAAGGAATTGATTTTTTTTTATTTCGCAGCCTTAGTGGCCTCACTGTAGCCTAACAAAACACAGCTGTCGTCTTCATCTTTGATTTTAATGCGTAAAATGATAGGAAGGTTTTGATTTTTTAGATTTCGCAGCCTACACATAGTGGCCTCAATGGCCCTATGAGCCTCTAGCGTAACAAAACACAGCTGTCGTCTTCATCGTCGATTCTAATGCGTCGAAGCAGAGGCTTGACCATCAACGGCACACTTCACATCGCAGATGGATTGGTTCGACAAGTTTGATTCATAGCTGGCACAGTCAGCCGCTGTCACATTGCTGCACAGTGGACGTGTTTCCTCATTACATCGAGACATTTCTCCTGCAAAAACCACGTGGCAACATTATACTCAGAAAAATTGCATACATACATCAAAGTGTGGCATCACTATATATCATTCATACATACAGCAAGAATTAGCAGACACAACTGGTACACTGGTGAAGTTTTGCAAAGCCATCGTTGAGAATTTTAATCGTCGAATACTTTAATTTATTGTACATAAATGCTTTGTTATACCGCGTTTCTGTGAGTCAGTGACTCACAGAGAATCAGCAAAGTGGCTGCAAGACGAGAGTAATGACATCTGCATACAACACCTATGACTCAAGAGTATATATGTACCTCTCACTCCTCTGTGTGGTGTATGACTTACTTTGAGTAATTTGATCTTCAAAGGCAATCCAAATGATGAACAAGGTTATCACACCGACTGCAGCAGCAGCGCCAGGTACAAATGTCATGACTGAACGAAAATAGTACCTGCAGTCAATGCAGCATGCTCTGAAAGATATAAAGCGAAATAGGAAATAGTGCTTAGTTAGATTACAGACTCCCACCCTCCAGGAGAGATGGTAGGCACCTAGTTGTCACCTAGATTTTAATTTAAATCAATAAATGAAAATGACGTCATAATCAATGTGATAAATAATAGAAAAAAATACTCCTGTCGTTCAGAACTGCGTGTGGGTGAAGGTTAAGGATACTCTCCACGTTGTGCACGGGTATGGCTCTAATAAAGATTAAACGTTTATTGACAAATGAATCGAATCAATCACTTGTTTTATTTATAGCGGAGATATATCTCTATGCTCAAGGCAAAAAATTTTCATGAATTTTCCAGCACCTAATTATGTTACGACAAAATTTTTTTATGTAAAAATAGTATTTTAGATATTTCTCAATTACCAGAAAGAGTGAGGATACAAAATTTTCGCCACATGTTAAGCACAATATGTACCAAAATAGCGCATCAGGATTTTTCTTTAAGTTTCATATTTACCGAGAAAAATAAAAAAAACTGCCTAAAATTCAAGTCGCACGTTTGAATTTAAAATTTTTGCGAATAAAGAGACATAACTCATAAAATACGGCACTTAATAACAGTGCAAAATTACGTAAGCTCACATGGGCTGAAGTTTATCTTGGTATCCTTGGAGTTTTGAGTGTAGGAAAAATTCTCTTTAAACACGAAGGCTAGAGGCACTTACTTGCAGGGATGTAGTCTCTGAATCACATTAACAGCGACACCATTAGAGAGCTTGTCAGTGAAGCTCATTACTCCATAAACAAAAGCACTGCCTTCCTGTGTGAATAAAGTAATAAACCAGATATGAGTCACATGCGCAAAGCACGTGCCAGAAATGACATTTAACAGGCATCTTGGCTTATATGCTTTGATGTGGAACAAACAAACTCATACCCTGCGAGATATTTTCAGCACAATTATATGGCTTCCAATCAGTACATTAGCTGAAATTAATATAACATCTAGGTGTGAGTTTTGTAAAGGCTGTAGCTACTACCAATAAAGATACATACGACATTCACACCAATTAGGTCTGCCACCATGGATAGTGAGGTGACGAGCATCGTTGAAGCTGCGATACCAAGAACAATAGCGACCCCATATATTTGGTAACCAAGATTGTATTGGTATATCCAGGCTGACAGTGACATTCCAACGGATGCACCCAACAGGAACGTCATCTGCAAATGTGAATAAACATAATAAGCAAGGTGCTACATGTATGACCTGAATGCTTCATTCATTCAATGCGCAAAGTATTTTTCAGTTTTCATTCAGATTCAGATTCAGATTTCATTTCAGATAGTCATTACTTTGTACACACGGATATGTGCATCTGTTGTTTATATCCACCCATGTGTTGTCATTTCCTTCCACTGTGTTTGCTCTTATTTTTTTCTGTTTTCTAGAGTGCTCAATTTAGGTTCATGTTATTCACATGATGCATAGCACTATGAACGGGGCAAAGTGGATATTCTCTACCAGGCCTAGAAAATGTCTCCCTAAAAGTTGCTTTATCTGTTATGAGTTATTTGCTACTGTGATCCATAATACATATAGCTAACGATTTTGCTAAGATAATAAGTATACTGACGAGAGAACAATTCGGTTCCAAGAGACATAGAGATGTAGAGAAAACACTTGAGACTAACATACACTTATAATGCTCGTACCTTTCGCCCAATCTTGTCGTTTGTATATCTCATTAGCAGCGACGTAAGAAATCCCGACACGAAGACGATGAGTGGTGCACGTGCGATGAAGTCCTTGTCGAGCTTCTGTGCCTCGTACAGGTACAGAGGGAGGTACACCTGGCTCACATTCACATAGAGCCGCGTCGACATGTAGAGAACTGCAACCTGGAATCGATGGGGGGGAGGAGGGGAGGTAAAGTTCAATTTATGAGAATATTTCTGGCTGCACATACGAATGATAAAGAGGAACTGACAAATCTATAGAGATTTATAGACTAAAAAAGATATACAGACTAATATGGAGTTGTTGGTGAACATACATAGTTATATTATTACAATTATTACCAGGCCTCGAATTAAGCGACGAGAGGAGCAAGGCAATTTTTTGGGGACATGTGAGAAATTGCCTTGAATTTTCTCTAAAATGGTAGACTGGTATCCGGCCTCACGCTCTGCTAGACAATGTACACGCTCTGCGACAAACAGTGCGGCCGCGAACCAGTCTAGCCAAAGGCACCGACGGCAATTACAGAAAAGGGCAAGGCAGGTCACTGCCGTCAGTCGGGTTGGATTTTCAGGGGCAGTACGGCGATTGATAGGAGCACCGACGGCAATTGCCGTCGGTGCCATCGGTTAATTCAAGCCCTGATTATTACTACACATTATATCACACATACCAGGTAAAATCTGGGGTTTTTAAACCAGTCCTTCCAAGCCATTTTCTGCCAGTTGCTGGCTCCACTACTGTCATATATACATTGACTAAGACTGGTCGATACTTCAGATGGCTCCTCTTTTGTCCCAATATGGAATATGATGGAATGTACGAGGCCAACTCCGACCACAAACAGAGCCATGTTCTGAAAGTTTTAAATATAGACCTAACCTAATGCACACATAATTGCACACACAATTAACACACATAATTCACAAAACTAGTAGATTTCTTAATCTAACTGGCACACATAATTCACAAAACGAGTGGATTTCTTTTAAATGTTCATCATAAAAAACGTTACAAGCCACAACATTTCTGCTCATCAATGTAGGATATGGTACGATGTGGCATTTTACACTCGTACATGCAGGACAACACAATTTTAGTTGCCAGGTAAATCGGCTATTTCAAACAGCTTACCCGAAACACAAACTGGTCACCAATTCCTATGGAAGCAGCATTCCCTGTCTCATCAAAATCTAACATCAACCATGTTCCAGCATAGACAACGACATTAGCACAAACAGTAGCAGAATACCTGTAAATAACAAGTGCCGCAGAGCGACAGCGCTCATCTAACGTCTACTGCGGTGACTCTGTGGTGGAGTGGTGGGATTCTAGTAAACCCTGTTAGTCCCAAATGTGTTCACATACAAGACGGGATAATCATGTTTTGCACTTATTAAGTGTCTGGTTGCTTGTTATCTTAACATTCGATTTCATCCGTTAGCTAAGCAACTAACTGCAACTGCAACTAACGGGAACACATGGAGCGCCACCGCAGCAAACGGACGTGTTTTCGTATCTCTCCAATGAAGGAGTAAACATTACGTGAAGAATACGACTTTTCAGCGCTTACGACCACTGAAAGAGATTCCAATTTACTCCTAAAGGAAGTACTTTTTCATTCTATTAACTTATATGGTGGAGGATACGGTTTAAAAGTAAAGTTAAGCTAGATTTTAGACTAGAAAGGCAGAGGGGAGCGGCCATATTTGTTGTCGTTTTTTGGCGGGAAAGTTCTAAATTACCCATCAACTAGATAAATAAACTCTATCCTGGGCAATTAAGTATAAACTGATAGATCTAATGTAAGCTAAATGGATCAAAAGAAGAAAACATCAAAGAAAGTAGATACATTTGGTAATAGATGGGCTCAATGTTGTAAGTGTAATAGATGGGATATATGGGAAAACATATGCGCCGACGATGTTATGCCCGATGATTTCGTGTATGACTGTGCTATATGTAAGTTTCAGGGGGAGTGGCTGAAGGAAAAGGCAGCACTTAGCGATAAAATTAAGAGCCTGAAGGAGGAGCTGCGGAGCAGAGTGGTTCAGATCAGCTATGAGGTTCTGGATCAGCTCAACTCCACTCCTGAGTCGGAAGACGAGATACTCCGGGACCCTCCAACGAAGATGGGGCAAGAGGAAATAGTAGATACATCGTCAAGGAACTCAAAGGAAGTTGGATACCTAAACAACCTTTTAGTTATTGGGGACTCGATAGTTAGGCAAACTGTAAAAGCTATTTGCAATGATGGGGATCGAAATGATAGGTGTGTTGTAACTTTTGGAGGGGCTGGAGCAAAATATATAGAGGAAAGACTAGATAGGATAGTAAATGTTTCAGATAGCCAGGGCACAGTAGTTATGCATGTAGGGGTTACTGATGTTCTAAACGAGGATCTAGAGATAGCTAGGAAGGAAATACAAAGTTTAATTATAAAAGCCAGCAGCAAAGATATAACAGGAAAGCTAGTAGTTTCAGGTACAATACCTTGTTTCAGATCTAAAGACATCAACCAGAAATTGATGTCCTTCAACCACACGATCCGGACCATGTGCAAGGCAAGTAGGGTAAAGTTTCTAGACAACTGGGCAGACTTCGCGGGCAGGCGGGACCTCTACTCCCATGACGGACTTCACTTAAACAGGAAGGGAGGAGATCGACTGGCTGGAAACTTCCTTAAAGTTCATCAGGAAAACTAGAAGGTTGGGGCCTCAAGGCATCAGATGAAGCACAGGATACATCAATCGTGCTAGCGTCGGAGGAACCAATCCCTAGGAGCTCCAAGCTGACTACACTTTAAGACCCGGCAGATAAGTTTCAACGAGACACAGGATTAATAATAACAGGAGTAGACCCATGCCATCGCGCCTCATCAGAATTCAGCTTTTCCCAAAAGGTCTACATTTCATTCATTTAAATGCTCGCAGTATCCTTCCTAAAATAGAATAATTTAGATATATTGCTATGCAAGCTAGAATTGTAGTGATTGCGGTATATGAATCCTGGCTAGATGATTCAGTTGATGACTGTGAAATTAAAATTGAAAATTATAGTGTAGAAAGGCGGGATAGAGATAGATCAGGTGGTGGGGTGTGTATTTTCATCAGGAATGATTTAGCATATAATATAAGAACTGATATGGATAAAGTGGGGCTAGAAGCTATATGGGTTGATATCTTACTACCAAGATCGAAACCAATATTGACCGGGGTATGCTATCGACCACCAAAACAAGGCAACTTCTTCGAACTATTGGAAAATATTAGTATAAATGCTGACAGGTTCAATGAGCAGGAAATTATTATATTAGGGGATTTCAATGTTAACGTTCTAGAAAAATCAACGGGAAAATGTGATAGAATGCTTAAGGCTCTTAAAGATTACTGCTACCAATATGATCTCAAACAACTAATCACTACTCCGACCAGAGTAACTAATATAAGTGAGTCCGC